TTTAAGATTTTTTAATTTATTCATTTGACAGAGACACAGCGAGAGAGGGAACACAAGCAGAGGGAGGGGGAGAGGGAGAAGCAGGCTTCCCGCCGAGCAGGGAGCCCGATGCAGGGCTCGATCCCAGGACTCTGGGACCATGACCTGAGCTGAAGGCAGACGCTTAACGACTGAGCCACCCAGGCGCCCCTAAGACTACTATGTTTTTAAAATCATTTACACTGAAATGAATATTTTTAAGCTGAAAATAGTATGTACTGTATACATTTCAATTGGAAATCATGAATATCCAAGCATATATTGTGAAGGAGAAATCATATTGCATGTTATGATGTTTGTTGTTATACTAACATTGTAAATACAGAATCACAACTTTATAGGACTACAGTCTTCGTCTGAACTTTGGATCAAGCTCAGGATTGTGAGGGAGAACATGAGTGAAATGCTAGTAGTACCTGCATGATGCTATCAACAAAGTAAAGCATATATTGCATAGTGATTAATAATATATTTTAGAAATTCTTCACTTTCTTGATAATGACTAAGGTTACTTCAGCTGGGCTTCTCATACATTATAAATTAATGTATGAATCCATTATTGATATGACCATAACAATATTGAATTAGGAAAACTTTTTTGTTATGAGGGGTTAATATCAATTTTATTTTTCTTATCTATTAACTATTCAAAGTTGATTCTACAAATATAAAATTGAATTTTTCAGGTGGAGTTCAAAAGGACAGATTTTTTTTTTTTAATCTTTAGCCCTTATCTCCTTTAATATGATTACTTTGTGGTGGCCTGAAACATGAATTACATGTCATAATTGATGTAATTGGAGAAATGTCACACTGCTTTTTAGATGCAACTGGAAGTAATTACATTATCCACAGACATTGTATACTGTAGGTGTGACATTGAATTGAAATAGGCATATAACAGTTATACATCTGGTAGTATAAATCTAAAAGTACAATCATATTTCAGTGAAAATGCGTTTCACTGATGTTTATCGTGATGCCTTTTGAAAGCATTCCCTTTTTCATTTTTAAAACGACTTACAGAAGTGTTCTTTGAAAATTCAGGGATTCTGAACCATGTGAAAATGACATATTGAAGTAAAAGCCCTCCATTATTGGTATAGGCCACTGAGCTAAGTGCTTGAGTTTAAAGGTGAATGGCGATCTTCTGCCTTGGTTTCGATGTAACAGTGGAAATAGCAGTTTTAAAAATTAACTAAATTATAAGTTAGAGCTATAATTAGAAGTAAAATTAGAATATAGTGGTAATAAAAAGCATGACATTCTGATGTCTGTTGAAAGTCCGGGAATCCTTCTTAGAGAAAGTAGCAATTGCATTGGGTGTTGAAAAATGGTAAGTAATCTTACAAAAGAGATGTTATTGGAGTCTAGGCTCTGAAAGAGCATAAGTAAAGGTGAAGAGGCATGTGGCACAGCAAGCGTGATTGTGTGCAGTTTCCTCTGGGCTACCTGCAGTGTCTGTCCCATGGGTGATGTGCTCCAGAGTACATTCTAGAACAGTCCTCTGTGGGAAGTGGCGGAGAGCACTGTTGGAGAGGTTAAGGCTGGGGCCCGCCTCCAGTTTGAAGGTTGCTGTACTAGTTTCAGATGAGAGACGAGTAGAAAGAGGTGAAGAGTATGATGAACATTTTTCAGAAGGGTGCCAAGATTAATGGAGAAAGTGAGTTTCATTTTGGATCTGTTGATTTGGAGGTATCTTTGGGATGGACGGTTGGAAATTTAGATCATGAATTCAGGAAAAGTTTAGTGTTGGTGACCCATGCCTGGAAGTTGTCAGGAGGGAGGTTTTGAAATGATACACTTTTTGAGCTTGGCTAAGGATACAGGAGTGAGCAAGCCATAGGTAGAGCTAATAAGGGCCATTTCAGGAAAGAAAAATAATGGTGGAGATTCAGAAGGAATCAAAAGAAAGTACCAGTCACATCCTGGATTCTAGACACCAAGGAAAATGAGCATTTTGTGTCATCTGGTCCCTTCATTTTAAAGATCTACTGTTCCCTTTTTGCAAGCGGTATTTTGTCATTATGTGAACATCCAGCTCACTATCAACTCTTCACCTAACAGTTATAGAGTCCATTGATTATCTTTGCCTGAAGGAGTTATTTCTTTAGGAGCTGTATGTGGTGAGTTTTCTAAATCTATTCATTATTCTGTTTGCATTACGTGGCATTCTTCTGAAAAGACAAGCTTCCCCTCATCGACTGGCACTGTTGGTTTCCCTGAAATACAGTTCCTCCTGAAAAGGCAGAATAGATTTTTAATACTTTGTGTTTAATTATTCATTTTCGGGTGCCTGGGTGGCTCAGTTGGTTAAGCGACTGCCTTCAGCTCGGGTCATGATCCTGGAGTCCCGGGATCGAGTCCTGCATCGGGCTCCCTGCTCAGCGAGGAGCCTGCTTCTCCCTCTGACCCTCCCCCCCTCATGTACTCTCTCTCATTCTTGCTCTCTCAAATAAATAAATAAATAAATCTTTAAAAAAAAATTATTCATTTTCAAAGTAAAGAGTTGGTGTAGTAATCACCTCTAATGGTGGAAAATGAATAGAGAAGCCAGGTCCTTAGCCAATGGTAGCAGCCTCAAGATCCTTGATATAAAAATTCTACTTGTGTTTCTCTGCACTCCCAATCCTTCCTCCCTTTGTGGACATTCTGTCAGTTATACATTTATCTACCCTTTATGACTTATTTGAATTTCTTGGCAGTAAGTCAGCTAATTTTGCTTTGTTCTCAAGTTATCATGAGCAGGTTTTAAGGCAGAGCTCCTAGTATTTTGAGATATAGTGAGCTTCGGTTTCTTCAGTTGCTTTATGCTTTTCCTTAGACTTTGCCTGTGTCCTTTGCTTATTTTACCATTTCCATGTTCCTTCACACAAGGTCAGTCCCTAATTCCTGGGTGTGGAGCAGCATCGTAATCTTACAGTGTTTTCCTTGTGCTTGCAGTTATATGCTGTGTTATAGCTTTCTTGAGCTGTAGTAACCAGACATGTACAGAGGTTTTCTAGTAAAAGTACTTGCTGCTAATGTTTAATTCTGTCGAGGTTTTAGTTTCTTATCTAGGTATATTAAAAAGAAAACTTTTTAAGTTTCATACTGAAGTTTATACTGGTGAATATTTATAGATTGAAAAAGATTTTTTGTACACCACAATATTGGCATAAGTTCCGGACCATCAGTTCATTTTGAAGCTTCTTCCTCTGATGGAATTCATGAAGGAGCAGAAAACAGTATCTTGGTCTATTGCTAAGGTCTATACAGTACAAACCTGTTACATTACACTTTTTCGTGTCTGTGTATTTGCTGCTCATGTGATTTAAGTCATGAGGAATAAGAAACGGTCACGTGTATAATGTCTACAGCCAGACCATCTTTAACAAAGTTATTAAGGAGAATATTTTGGTCCTTCATTTAAAGTGGGGCACTGATGTAAGTGGGTCGAAGTGATTAACATCTTAAATTTGTTCTTGTAGGAGGTATTTAGATTTACATGTTGAACTAAAATGTTTGACTTCTCTGCCTTATCCTACCTTCCTCATTTCTCTTCAGGACATTGAAATTAGGTTTTATTTTTTATTTTTAAAAGATTTTATTTATTTATTTGACAGAGAAAGAGAGAGCACAAGCAGGGGGAGCGGCAGACAGAAGGAGAGGGAGAAGCAGGCTCTCTGCTGAGCAGGGAGCCCGATGCGGGGCTCGATCCCAGGACCCTGGGATCATGACCTGAGCCGAAGGCAGACGCTTAACGACTGAGCCACCCAGGTGCCCCTGAAATTAGGTTTTGCAGCCCAAAAGCCAAAGCAGATTATTATAAGTTATTATTTCAAAGAAATGTCCAGTAGCATTTGGTGGTTTTGGGATATATATTATATATATATTTTTAAGATTTTATTTATTTGTTTGAAAGAGAGAGAGAGATTGAGAGAACGAGTAGGAGGAGGGGCAGAGGGAGAAGCAGACTCCCTGCCGAGCAGGGAGCCCAACAACAGGACTCGCTCTCAGGACCCTGGGATCATAAGCGAAGGCAGACACTTAACCAACTGAGCCACCCAGGTGCCTGCTTTGGGACATGTTAAGTAAATATTTATCAGCTAACCAGGTTTTTATGTAAAGACTTCACTTGCCATGAGCACCTTGGGGTGAGCAGTTATGTATCTATTATGTACCATGTATTGGGATAAATTAATTTTTCCCTTTACTTGATATTTGAATTAATGCGTACAACTAGCTCGTGAAGTAGCTAACAGAACAGTCTAGAGAATCTTAAGTCTCTTGCCCAAAGTCACACAACTACAAAGATCTAAATAAAGAGCAAATTCTTTGGGGCGCCTGGGTGGCTCAGCTGTTAGGCTTCTGCCTTCGGCTCAGGTCATGATCCCAGCGTCCTGGGATTGAGCCCCGCATCGGGGTCCCTGCTCCGCGGGAAGCCTGCTTCTCCCTCTCCTACTCCCCCTGCTTGTGTTCCTGCTCTCGCTGTGTCTCTCTCTGTCAAATAAATAAAATCTTTAAAAAAAAAAAGCAAATTCATTAATCTTTCTTATTCTAAACATTTTGGTGAATTATAGAAAATATCTCACAATATTATTATAAGACTAGAAAGAAGATGAAAAGAGGAGATATCAACAGTCTTGTAGAGAACTACTTTTCATTTTGTGGTGCATGTAATTGGCCCAGGGAGATTGATTTGGGAGGGAGTGCAGGGAAAATGGTTTTGTCTCCCGTGTACGTACGTATGCAGCTACCTTCCCCACTCTAGTCATTACACTCCTGAACTCCAGACGGATGACTACATTCATGAGGTCTAATCTGGGTGAAATGTCCTCAATCAGCTCTTCTGTGTAGGCTTGGGAAAAACACTTTGAGTATGCAGAATCACTTTTCTGCTACTTTTGGAAGACCAAATGCATCGTTAATTTGCAAAGTCTGGTTTTTTACAAGGCACCTTTTTGTTTCTTTTTGAATAGAAAGATGAAAACTATAGAAGCCTTCCACGGGATGCTAGTAACTGGTCTCACCAATTTCAGAGAGACAATGCTCGCTCATCTCTGAGTGCCAGTCACCCAATGGTGGACAGGTGGCTGGAGAAGCAAGAACAGGTAACATAAATGAATCTTTCTACACATGTCATTGGTGTAACTTCCTAGCCCATACCCTGAAAGATGTTTCCCTCCATCACTGTGATGATTAAAGGTAAATTACTCTAACAAACTTCAGGTAAGTACCAGGCTCTCTGTCAGAGTTTGTCTAATATGAATATAAACTATTTCTGTGGTGGTCCCGGATCAAAGATTTCTCATAAGCGGTTATGAATATTTGCTGTGGATCCTGGAGTATCATGACTCCCGAACTTGTTATGTTGCTGAGGCATAGACATTTGGCAGTGAATAGTACAGCTTGAGTAGACTTTCAAGACCACTTATAGGTTCTTCTCTTTATTGATAAGCAGTAAGTCAAAGGACCTGAAGAGGCAAATTAAAATGTTCTATCTTACCTGACTTCACTCTGTAGGAGAAATACATTCTATAGTGTTATTTCAGAATTTCGATGAATTTGTTGGGTTTGGGGACTTTCCCTTTCATAAATGTCAGGGAACTATTTTTGAGGTTTGTAAGTTTTTAGAGGTGCTCAGTTTACTGAGCAGGATTGGCCAGCTACCATTTGTGAAATCAGCATCGTTTACCACTCAGTGTAAGTAACTGGTTCGTGTCCTGGGAAAAGCAGCTGTTTACAAACTTCTTATGACGCTGCTGGAGAAGCCGTCACCACATGAACACTAAGAATTTATCCGGTTAGTTGTGACACATAAAAAACAAGTTCTTCCAGTGTTGTTGTTTAAAGTCTGAATTGTTTCTTGTTAGTCACAGTATTTTCTTTTTAGTGGAAATTCTAGGGTTTTCTTTGTTGTTTTAAACAGTTTTTGTATTAAAAACACACTTATCTCCTTACTTTGTCACTTATTTTCTTAAAAAAGTTCATTTAAAATTGAAGGCTAGTGAATACTAAGAATGTTTTGTTTTCTGTTTCAGTAATTTCTGAAATTATTAATAATTCTATTGCCTACATAGTGGAGTAGTTGTTTTTCAATTTAGATTAGTGATGTCAGTGGGAAGAAGTCCTAACTTTACTTAATGCATCTTAGTCTGTGTTTTATAGCATAAGCCTCCTAAAATAATTTTGTGTGTGGGGGTGTTGGAATATGAAACAATAAAAAAAGACAGTTTGCCTTTGATACCATGTATGGTATCACAAACGTACTGGTTTTTATCATATCGTAAATGTTAGAATACATTAGAAGCATTGTGTGATGGAAATAATTTTAAATAATTAAAAAACCATGGAAGTCCTACTTAGGAAAAACATTATTTTCTCAAAATACAGATTTTAAACTCATTGGTGTTATTATTTCATTACCATTTTGAGCTAAATATTTTAAAGAATTAGTTTAGCATGGGCCTGTAGTCAGACTGGCTGGTTACTAGCTATCCACCATAAATGAGACTTGGGCATGTGGCTACCTTGTCCATACTTCAGTTTACTCGTTTATCAAATGGGTATAATCATAGAACCTGCTCCTACAGTTGCTGCATCCAGTGATGGAATACCTACCAAGGGGTTATTAGAATCTGTGTGTCTTAATATATTTGTTAGAAAAAAAGTTGGCTGGGCGCCTGGGTGGCTCAGTCGTTAAGTGTCTGCCTTTGGCTCAGGTCATGGTCCCAGGGTCCTGGGATCGAGTCCCACATCGGGCTCCCTGCTCGGCGGGAAGCCTGCTTCTCCCTCTCCCACTCCCCCTGCTTGTGTTCCTGCTCTCGCTCTCTCTCTCTGTCAAATACATAAATAAAATCTTTAGAAAAAAAAAAAAGAAAAAAGTTGGCTGCCAAGAACAGAAATTCTAGATTGCCTAAGAAGATACTCCTTATTCATTTAACACGAAATCTGGCGGCAGGGGTGATTGGTGGTGTAGTCCACAACCCAGCGGACCTCACTGAGGATCCAGATCCTCCATTTGCTGGGAGCTCGACACAGGGCCTCCATGTCTGTGTGCTCAGCTTGTCGGAGCCTCGGACATCACGTCCTTGTACGGGAGAGCAACAGTGCCTTTATCTTCTGCGTGGCTCTTTTTGAAAGCAGATAAACCTTTCCCACAAGCCCCTCCCCCCTCCCCAAACAGGTGCCCTTCATGTTGTGTTGCCTAGCGTTGTATGACTTGCATGCCAGTTTCTAAAAAAAGGGAGTTGTTGGTTGCGACTAGTTGAGCTTGATCTCCTGGAGCTGGGGGTGTGGGTGTGGCGGTTTGTCTTCCCTGAAACACAGCTGCTCATCACTGAATACAGTCAGGGTTCCCTTAAAGCAAGAAGGGAGGTACGGTTAGCTAACTATGCTAAATATGATTATTGTTATTACAAGATTAGGGGAAAAAATTGGCAGTCCAGAGTTTCTAAAGTAGGATATATTTAATTATATTCTAAAAATACACTTTTATTTTTTTAATTGTTGTGGTTGTAGATGTGTTTTTAAGGAGGTAATATAGTTTTTCTTTGTAATTTTGGTATAAAATAGTTTCTTTTTACACAAAAGGAGTTGCATTGAGAAGCCACATACTTTTTTTTTCTTCCCAAAAGACTCAGCCTCGATTTGCTTCTGTTGAAGTTATTTGAAGCATTTGTTCCTTGATAAGCAGGTTTTTAAAAAATAAGTACTTCCTTAGTCTATGTAGTCTAATGTAAATGGCATTAGTTAATTGATTCCTGAGCCTGAAAACATCTTCTTCCTTGACTTAAATTTAAAAAATGATGATCCATTCACTAAATTTAATGATTTCACATCAGCAGGATAATTAACGAAACTGAAATCTATTTAACTAGACAAGAACAGCAAAAACAACACAAAATCCATATTAAAACTTTGCCTAAAAGTAGGCACAATTGTTTGGGCAGAAGAGGACAAAGAGGTTATGCTGGACATACTGTAAATCTAGTCCAGATAGTCTCATTTAATTGTGCATTTATTCTTTTAACTGTTTCCCATAAGTCATCTGACTTTAATGGCCAAATGTCTCTTCTGTGGGCTTTTTTCTCCTTAGTTTTTGCCATTAAAAATGTAATAAGAGATGAGCATTACATAGATAAAAATAATGTTTTATATGGTAAAAAACAAAAGTCACCCCCCTGCCTTTACAATTTGGGATCACCAAGGTAGAACTGCCTTCCATGAGTTATGCCATCTGGACTGAAGAGGTCAACAGAGTTCTAGATTTTATATGTCTTCAGTGGTTTTGTTTTGCTCTGTTTCCTACTAGATTGCTTGTCTCATTATCTCTGTTTTTTTGAAGGCAATTATGACCAGATCAGTTGTGCCAGTGGGAATAAACAGTAGGAATGAAAAGCACAAGAGAGCGTGTTAAAGTGCTGAGCTAGTAGGCACCTCTGGTAGCTGAAGGTGGCTTTCACTTTTTGTGGGGTTGATCCCCTATAAGGGGATATTGAATCTTTCCCTCTTTTAGAATATTCGTAAGGTACGCACTCATATAATCAAAGGTAGGGGATGTATTTTATTAGAACTTTGTACCAGCAAGCACTTGGACTCAAGCTCAACGTGATTTCCAGAAATAGAAGTATTGCTTTTCAGTTGACTAATTCTTGCTCAGAATAGCCTGTAGCTGAATCCTACATCAGGTTCCTCTCAGAAGGTAGAGGACTGTGTATCTTTCAAAGAGCATCCTTTTCTTGTGACTTCCTTTTTCTGAGCTCTTAGAGGAAGCACAAAGAATTCAATACTAAATGGGTTGTTGTCGTATTGCCTTGAAAAAGTTTTCATGCTTCTGAAATTCTGACTCTGAGACCCAAGAAACAACAACAAAAAAATCAACAAAAGGCTTAGTTTTGATGTGTGGCAATGCTTTAAGAAATCTGAATTCCTTTTAACCATTACCATTTCCCTGACTCGGTGTAGACTATAATTTAATATTGGCAGATAATAGATCATAAGCTGACTTTGTTCTTATATCCCTACAGTTTATTGCAACTAATAAATTCCACAAAAGGAGGCAGGAACTTTATAATACGTTGTTGGAGGAATTTAAGGTCTGAAAGTAGAGGGACCTTCAGGGAAATTTAAGCTAATTGGGAGCCTGCCATTTTCACTACCTGGACTTGGTGAACAGACCTGAAGCCAATTAACAGAAATATCCAGGAGGTGCAAGGCACATTCCAGCCGCCACTTAAGCTCTGTTATAGGGGAATGACTGCCCTGACCTTTAGAGAAAAATCCATGTTTTAGGTTTTTTTTTTTTTTTTTTCCATCAAGCAAAAACTTTGTCTAATTGGCAGATTATACTGTGGGAGGCAAACTGAGAGGAAAACTACCTTAAATGTTTGGTGATGACCCAGTTCAAGTGTGATAGTGGATGTGCGCTGTCCTCACCTTTGTCTCCTGGCCTTCTGGCCCCCAACATTCAGTGTTGTCTCACAGCCATGAGTATAAGGAACAATGACAGTGCCCTTTCTTCTTATTTTGTGAACTTTTGTCACTGTCTACAGTCATAATGCTTCTACTTCAAGTTTTTTCATGTGGAGAACATTCCTGACTTTTGATATTTATTCCTTCTGAGATGAAGATGGCTAATATGGGGATAGTGTCTGTTTTTACATTAGCCCGAGTCAAGTCCTAGATATTAGAAGTAGAAAATAGCTGAACCTTAAATAGAAAGCATACTTTTTTCTATTTTTAAATTTTAATTAATTAATTAATTATTAAGTAAGCTCTATACTCAGTGTGGGGCTTGAACTCACAACCCTGAGATCAAGAGTCACAGACTCTACGGACTGAGCCAGCCAGGTGCTTCTCAGTAGAAGTCATATTGAAATAAAATAATGCTTGAGAATAAATTTCTTTCATTTGTCCTGTTCTTAAAAAAGAGTTCTGCTACATTGACGGCTTATTCTGATACTTTTGAAAATATTTATGCTTTATAACTATTTACATGATACACAATGAGAAAAGGTAAGATTCTATGACAGGGTTTCATTTTTGCTTTTCATTATAATTTGATTAAGTCTAAATTTTGAACATCTAGAGCAACAATAAATTTTAAAAA